CAGTACTCTGGCTGCAGCATTTTGGATTAACTGGAGGCTTTTTATGTAATTATTGGGACATAATGTTAGTAAAGAGTTACAGTAGTCCAGTCTGGAAGTAACAAATGCATGGGCTAGTTTTTCAGCATCACTTTGAGAGAGGATGTTCCTGATTTTGGCAATATTCAAAGAAACATGAAAATATTACATTAACACAAAACTAATTTAAAAGAAAATCTATTTAAAAGGGAAGAAAGAAAAGGAAAAAAATCCATTATTGAAAAACTCTGTTATTGTTTCCAGCGTTCTTGTTTTTTTGTCCTGTTGTGACCTCGGATTGTTTAGACCGCTGATTCTGCCTTGCCCTCCTGATTCAGACTGCTTTTTGTGTATGGATTATTGGGCTTCCCTCTCTGACATCTTGTTTTGGATTTCTCGGCTGTGTAAGTTTGCTGGCTCTGACCCTGGACTGTATTTTCGACCTGAGTGTGTGTTTCGTGTTTTACATAGTTCTCTATCGTTTTGTTATCCGTGCTCTTATTAAAGAGACAGTTTTCACTTATCCTCGTCTGGCTCTATAATTGAGAGTTCACCCCTTGACATTATCGGCAGCCTCACTCTGACACTCTTTTAACCAGCTTATAAAAAACTTTTGAATCTTTCATCTTAATAAACTAAAACTGAGTTTTGCAAGTGCACCATGGTGTAATCATGGAAAGTAAGTTATTAAACATTTTGTGCTGTCAGGATAGATTAGCTTCAACTCAGGGAGACACAGTAACACAAAGGCTTCCCTCAGAGCAGAATTTACAGTATGATTTTATATCATGCAGCATGAACCCTTTTACCTTCATTTTTTCACTAATCTCTCTTAAGACATTGTCCTCCTACTGTCCTGCCACCATAGTTCAGAGAAGAGAAGAGTTGATAAAAATGTTGATTTGCATGTCTGTCAGAGGCCCCACCACAAGGGCCCACCAGCCATCCCCAGTTACCAATTTTTCTGCCCCTCACCTGACTGTGTCTGACCCTTAGGAATTGTTCACCAGGAGAGCATTATTGTTCTCCAGCCAGTGGTTTTACTGTGCTGAGATTTTTGGTTCATGTTTTGTGCAGCTATTTTGGTTGGTACTCCTGTGCAGCGGCCTCAATTTCTCTGGTTGATTGCACTCTGTGCTGCATTGAGTTTTGTGTGTTGTCACAGCCTTTTGGAGCCCTCACCTGTTTTTTTTTGTCTCTGGTATCAAGGAGGATTTTCAGTTACCACCCTTTGGCGGGATTGTTTGCCAGCTCACTTGTCCTTATGTCTCACCTGTTAGCTAGCTCCTCTCACAACCTTTCACCCTCCAATCGGTGCCACTGCCTACTCTATCAGACGCCAACCCCAGGATCCCAATCTGCAAGATCTGCTGCTGCCCATCCTGTTGAGCACCTTCCTGTGAACTCTCATCCTGCACCTTTTTGTTAATCTGTGTCTCGACTCCTCACAGTTAAGCATCAACAATGCAGCTGTAGAAGTTGCTGAGGATCCTAGGCGGCATGGCAAACCTTCTCAGCCTCCTCAGGAAGTACAGCCACTGTTGAGTGGTGTCCAAGTGAGGTCCTCACTGATGTGGACGCCCAGGTATTTAAAGCTGCTCACCCTCTCCACTTCAAGCTCCCACATGGACAGTGGCTGATGAGATCTCCTCTCCTTCCTCATGTCCACTATCATCTCCTTTGTCTTGTCCATGTTGAGGTTGAGGTTATTGTCCTCACACCATGACACCAGACCGGCCACCTCCCTCCTGTAGGCTGGTTCACCCCCGCCCGTGACGCGGCCTATCAGTGTGCTGAGGATCCTAGGCGGCATGGCAAACCTTCTCAGCCTCCTCAGGAAGTACAGCCACTGTTGAGTGGTGTCCAAGTGAGGTCCTCACTGATGTGGACGCCCAGGTATTTAAAGCTGCTCACCCTCTCCACTTCAAGCTCCCACATGGACAGTGGCTGATGAGATCTCCTCTCCTTCCTCATGTCCACTATCATCTCCTTTGTCTTGTCCATGTTGAGGTTGAGGTTATTGTCCTCACACCATGACACCAGACCGGCCACCTCCCTCCTGTAGGCTGCTTCACCCCCGCCAGTGATGCGACCTATCAGTGCGGTGTTGTCCGCAAACTTTAGGATGATGTTGTCTTTGTGGGAGGCAGCACAGTCGTGGGTGAACAGGGTGTAGAGGATGGGACTGAGAACACATCCCTGAGGGGTGCTAATGTTTGTAATAATGCTGGCTGAAGTCCTATTGCCAATCCTGACAGTCTGGGGCCTGCCAGTCAGAAAGTCCAGGAGCCAGTCACAGAGGGTGGAGTGCAGACCTGGCACTGGAAGCTCTAGAAATATGTAACATGTAATCATTACACCCATCTTGCCTTTGTTTTTTTGTCTGTACAAAAGTATGAGTTAGTGCCAGGTTTTGTTGTTTTTGCCAACTATTTCAAAAAGCACACAAGACCTTCAAAGATGCAGTTGTTAGTGCTTTAAACTTCAGGAAATTAACTATTTTATTATACTTTAAAAAATTGTCAGCAGTATTGTGTAGTAACATGAAATGAATGATCTTAACCATGTAAACACAGTGGTATGCTTGTCAAACTATGTTTCGACAGAGTGCTTGTTGTTAGTTTTTCTGTGACAGAGTATTCCTGAGCTGAAGGTGAGCTGTTGTCCTGTGTTCTCCAGGTCGTCTGTTTCTGTTAGTGTGGGTGTAAGAAACATGGAGGCTGTGATTAGCAGGCTGATCCTGTGAGTGACCCTATGGCAGAGAGAAAGCACAGTGCAGGTAAGAACTACCAGAAACACAGAGAGACAAACAGATGGTCTATGCCCAACTTAAATACATGAAAACAGGACAAACTATATAAGCATGTACTGTATGGGGAGGATGTTTTCTGTTGTAGCATACCATGGCTGCCTAGCAGACCTTAGAGGCAGTGATCCATTATACCCAGTAATTCAAGTGTGGCAAATACTAATGTAAAGACAAATTGATATGATACTGATATTTGAGGGTTTAGTCTACAGTTACCTAGCAGCTTTGTAAGGCTACACTAAGGTGACCGAGGCTACAGTAGCTGCTGGATGGACAATAAATTTCTCCAAACTGTAGAGCTGCCTGCCTGTCAAAAAAATACATTGTCTTGAATTTTTATTTCAACATTATTTCAAAAGATGTGAAGCGTGGCTGTGGAGAATAGGAATTGTTTAACGGCACCTTTGACAGAACTGAATAAATAATAATAATAAATAATAGTTATGTAGCGAGTAATGTGACACATTAGTTTTGCTGGTAGTAAAGTAATCACTTGATGAGTAATTTGTAATAACAGATTACAGCACCTTTAAAGTAACGCTGTCATAAATCAGTACAATTTTGACAGGCTGATGAAGCTAGAGAATGAATGTATGATCTTTACTGTCATTATACACATGTACAATGAAGTTTCATAAATAGATTTTAAAAAGCACTAGCCATCCATCCATCCATCCATTGTTACAGTAAATCAAATTTACATTTACAGATTTAATTATGATTATTAATAAATAGATGCCTAAGTGTCTCTATGAATGTAGGCATTTTATCTGTGGTAGCAGCCTCATAGGGTGAAGATGGGTGCTTGTATATGTATCACAGCTTGTGTGTGTGTTGTCACAAGTTGTGTTTTCTGCTCTGTGTTTGGGCAGAAGGAGGTGTAATGGAGGCCACAGCTTTGAGAAAGAATCTGTTCCTCAATCTGTTAGTGCTGGATTTTCTTGTCCTGATCCTGGGAACAGGGAGTGACCGCAGTGTTTGGTGTCCCTGGTTATGCTGTTCACTTCCTTCTTCAGTCTACTGGCATAGATGGTGTCCAGTTTGGGGAGCTCCATTCCTACAGTGTGTCGGGCAGCCTTCACCACACAATGCACAGTCAGGATACTCTCAGTGGTGCTCCTGTAGAAATCTAGCATCACTTTCTTTGGGAACCAAGCCTGTTTCAGCTTTCTGAGGAAAAGGTGTGAGGTGGTGGTCAATGTCAAATGTTTTGACATTAAGACCCCAAGGATTTTCAGGTTTTCTACACTTTCCACTGCTTCTTCATGTATAGTATGTGAAAAGAGAGGTGGACTTTTTTGTTTAGTCTTCTGAATTCGATGACCATCTCCTTTGTCTTTGAGGTGTTAAGGACCAGGTTATTGTCCTTTCATGACTCAGCTAGATGTTCCACCTCAAACCTTTAGGCTGTTTCCTCATTGTCAGAAATGATGCCAACTACTGTGGCATCTTTAATTATTGAGTTGCACGTGTAGATGGGGGTAAGGTCGTGTGTCAAGAGTGTGAAGAGCGTAGGGCCCAGCACACAGCCATGTGGGGTTTGTGTGTTTAGGATGAGTGTGGAGGAGGTGTGTTTACCAGTCCTGACTTGCTGTGGTCAGTCGTAAAAAATGTCCATGACCCATGAGCACAGTGAGAACCCATGGCCCAGGCTGTTCAGTTTGGTGATCAGTTTGTGGGGGTGGGGAGTGACAATGACAGTATTAAATACTGAACTGATGATGATGATGATGATGATGGCAGATAAGAGGTCAGGGGTTCTTCCTAAGGGGAACATGAAGGTATGTACAAAATTTTGTACAAATCCATTAATAATTAACTACTGACTTGAACATTCTGATCAGATGATGGCACTAGAAGGGTTGTCCAGACACATCCTCTAGGGATTAATAGTGTTTAAGTCTTGACCCAAGAGGCTGCACTGCCATCTAGAGAATCTAATCTGATATATAAATTTGTTATACCGTATATAGACACAAAGCATGAACAAATTGTATTGCTTTCATTAAGCTAACATTAGCTAAAATCATCTGATAATGCCAGTGTATCACTCACACATCAATTCTAGGGGCTGAGTATTTCCGCCTAACAACTTTAAAAATGTTCAGCTTGTTGAATGGGCTAGAGTAAAGGTTGTGAAAAACCCAAAACACATTAGGGATCATCCTCCAAGGAGCGCCAATGTGCTTTGGAAACTTAGCTCATGGTGATCTGCATTTTACATTTGTTTTGTATAAACTGAAAATCTGACCTGATGTTGGCTCAAGAGGAAAGAGCAAGGGCCACCACAGTGTAGACAAAGGGTCTTCAATATGATTGAGTAATACTTCCAAATCTATGGCAGGAAATTCAAAATTAATTAGATAATTTCTTAAATTTGCCTAAACCTATTTTATCCTATTAGGATTTTTTGTTTTATCTAATTTTGACAATATAATGGCAATGAATGAGACAGACCATAATAATGCATTTTTTATGTCACATCACTATCTTGGATCACGCCTGCTGAGCTGGGATTGACCTCGTTTCTTCTGATTGGGACAGATGACCACAGGATGGATGTTAGAGATACATTACTTCTGATTGCTTAGGGCAACTACAGCCTTTTCTGGGAAATTAATGTGTCCAAAAGCTGCAGCTTGTGAGGAAAAGGGGAAGCAATATCTAAAATTATCTTCAGGCTGAGGTGGGTCTGTAAGAACAAACACCACAGTTTGTTCTTTATAGTGTATACATGTTTGCAAAAGTCTTCTTGCCCATGTTAGAGGATGCAAAGCAAATGCTTAAATATATCGAGTAGTTCTCCTGAGGTACCTCAGTATGAGGTACTGAGCTAAGGCCTAATTTCCACCCAGACAGACCTTGGGCTTTATTTCTTGAAATAGGGGGCAGCTCTATTCTTGGGTCTAAACTCCTGGTATAAGGCATATATGTGTGTGTCCAACAATGTTTTGCAGTTTTGGTGACCACAAATGCTGCACACTTTTGTGCACAGCCAGGTGTTGCCAGGCACATTTTGTAGGGGGTGGAATCTATTATTATACTGAGGAATATATCGTAGTAGGTGGAGTCAGGATAGAAACCGACCGACATCACTGATGTCAGAACATGGACACGTGAGAGATTCTTTTCCCCTGCATCGTCTTCTGTACTGCACATAAATATTCACTCAGCAGTAATATCACTGACCAGTGTTTGTACATGGACAATAGAAAGTCTCTGATCCTATAACCAGCTGCAGTAATATAGTGTAATTTTTTCACAGCTGCATCCAATGTGTGAAATCCATGGGGGTCTCGTATGTGACCTCATAATTTTTTTTTTTTATACTACAGTAAAATCATATTGTAATCACTGTGTTTATGATGAAACTGACTGTGGTCCACCAGCGCTCACAGCCAGTGGATGTGTCGTCCACTTTATCTCCACCTACAGCTGCTTTCAAAGCTGATCAAACCGCCATAAAACATACTGTATATCCCTGCGGTAGTAACAAAGGTCTGTCTGTGAGAAACTTGTTCATTTGAAGAAACTGTAACTTTCAGTGACAGTAGCCATAGTGAGATCAGACAGACTTTACGTACTGCCTAACAGGATTAATCATCTGTTTGTTATTTATCTTGGCTCATGAGCTGCATGTTATGTGTAATGTTTAATGGTGATTTGGATTCCCAAACACTTACTGCAGATCACCTCTGTAAGTAGCCTACAGGTGATCCGTCCTGAGGCTACTTACACTGTTTGATCATAAACTGAAAAAACTTAGAAAAAATCAACTGGACTAGATTTCTAGGTCGAAGACGGTTCACCTCTCATCCAAGAGGCTTCATCAGTTCTGACTGACTGGTGTTGAGCCGGAGATATTTATCCCCCTCGGTGGTGTTTCAGTCCTTTGATGGCCAACAATGTCCCTTAACGACTGAGTCGTTATAGCCCAGTATCAGTTTTTTCAGTTTACTATGACCTGGATGACTGAGAATCTGCACAGACTGTTTGATCATATTCATATCTATAGCCACATACTATGAACACTAGTTTATCTTATTTAAAAATAATCTTCATGATATGCAAAATTATTTTGAGTCAATTTTAACATATCAGATGTGGATTTAAGGGTTAATTTTAAGTTGGTGTGGCCATTACAATACATGACCAGGTGTTATAGCTTTTTTTTTTTTTTTTGATCAAAAAAAGCACCAAAATTGCACTGTGCTGCCTAATTAACATACACACATGTAAGCACATTCATTCATGTCAGGAAAATACCAAACACTCCCGTGGACAGAAAAAAGGTAGACATGCACCTGAGGAGAATTGCATAAGGACTGCGAATGAAGCGATGCAGAAAATAGAGCCTTTAATCTCAGATGGCACCATCAGATCTAAATCAAATGAACTTCTACTAATTGAAAGGCAAGGTGGGACAGACATGGTACAGTGTCTGAGCCCTTCAGAAGCCACAACTGGTGTCCATTAAGGTTGCTTTCATCAACAAAAATTATGACTAAATATCGTCGTCAACAAACCTTTATCACGTGACGAAAACGAGATGAGGTGCAACATAAATGCTGGTCATGTGACAATGACTATAATTAAATGTATAATGCAATATTGTTGATGAAAAAAACAAGACTACATGTGGTTTACAAAATAAAAACTATGCTAAAATGTCTCTTCATTTTTGTTGACCAAAACGAGACAAAACAAAATGTTATGTTATTTCGTCTCGTTTAGTCACGTTATTATTATTATTATTTTGCAGTATTTTTGTTTCCTGTTTCAGGGGCTGCATCAGGCCACACTGCGCAGACGCAGGTGACATCACTTCCTTAAGCCCCACTCAAGGCATTATTTAGAAGACAACAACAAACAAAGTTAAGTCTGACACAGAGAAAGAGACCGATGGCTGGTCAGCCGGGGTTCATCTTTGGGAGAAAAAGAAGAAACAACATTTGGAAAAACTTTCATTA